GAAACCAGGCTTTCTTTTCGAACACGTCATTCTTGAGCATATACCCGCTTTGAGTCCGGCTTTTGGTGGGTGTAGGTATCATATAGATACCGGACTCTGGCAAGCATCCAAATGCGGTCAGCCAAGCTTGGCAGCTTGCAGCTGTGCTCCGCAAGCCGGAGAGTTCGGTCATTTCAGACAGGATGCTGCGCCAGGCGTCTTGAATCTTTGATGAGCAGATTCGTCAAATTTGCGTTCCCCCTTGTTGGCCTCATGGAGCTTCGTGTCTGGCGTCGAGGCTTGTAAATTGTAAGTGCTGTAGTTGGATTCAACCGTTCTTCAAGCCCTGTGTCCTTCGACTATCTTCGTCTTGGGGACCGTGGCACAGTGGCACTGCTAGTTCCGTCGAATACCAGCTGCCGCCCTCCACTCTGACAGGGATTCATGTACTTGGAGGTTCCCTTTGCTACAATCCGCCGAATCAAGAAATCTGAGATGGAGCTGCACTTCATCAAGTGCTGCACCCCCAGAAAGAACTTGAGACGCATCACGCACCAAGCGTCTGTGGGGACCAAGCAGGAGTACCTGGGCCTGAACCTGGCTCTCGCGAACCACCCAGGATGGCCTGAACCCAGTTTGATCCTGAAGCACGGCAGCCCGCAGGGTTAGTTACGAACGCGACAAGGGAGCCCAGCCTGGCGGACAGCCGCGCACGCTTAAGCAGGAGGGGGTGCTTGGACGAGCGCGGGCAGAATATCATATGCGTTGCCCTTGACTGGGCAACCCTGAAAGTGCTGTCAAATGTCCAGGACTTTGAAGCTGCTGAACACTCTGTGGCTTCAGCTTCCATGCCCTCAGCTCAACAGAGGCCCCAAAGCCCTAAACTGTCCAAGCAGTAACCTGATAAGGGTTGTAGGGGCGGCCTGAAAGTCCAGGGAGTCTTTGTGATCCAGCCAGCAAGTTCTCACTGGAACACTTGCAAAGAATGACCCTCCTCCACCTAAGGAATAAGGAATTGTTCTAAACACCCACGTCCTGAATCCACAAGGAGTGTTCTGAATCCCAGGCCAACCAACCCTACAACCTGAACTTCAAGTTTCAAGGACCCTAGGCAACCGAACCTTACGACCCGGATCCTCAAGCCTAAATCCAGAGCCCTAAAGCAAATGATTTCAGGCCAGGCTGCGCCGACGTAGAGCTGGCGGAGGACGCTGAACTGCTTCCTTTGGAGCCTTTGAGGCTTTCTCTGAAGGTTCAAGATGTAGGGCTTATGGTTTGGTGCTTAGGGTGTATTTCCATGATGCTTTAGAGGGAATGGGGGAATGGATGGCAAGGATCCATTGCGGAGAGTTGTGTAAGAAATACTACAGGATACTACAGGGATGTGTTCTTCCAGGCAGTGCTTCCAAATTTTGGAAAGTGGCTTCAGGCTTTGGGTTTGACATTTGAGGCTGAGGGCTTGTGGCTGGTCATGCCGTGGCATGCAAGCGGAAGAGGCCGCCAAGAAGGAATTGTCCAGCAAGTTGGGCGCGACCCAGCGACCAAGGATCCCTGAAGGCTCCCTGGCTAGGTAGTCGGCCTTGAATTGTACAAGCCCCGCGAACTTCAAAGGTGTCCTAATTCCAAACCCTGGATGCTTCTCTTTCCCCACAATTTTCTCAGAGCCTGGGCCGGCGCAGGCCAAACTGCGGCCAACGGCGTGTACTTTCTCGACCTGCGTGTTGAGGCTGTAGGGTTTAATTTAGGGCCTAGCATCAGGGTTTAAGGTATATTGGGCTTAGGGCGCTTTCAGGGCTGAGGGTTAGTAAGAATGAACTACGTAACTACGACGTAGGATTAGAGCCTGGGGTTTAGCATTCCAGTTTGAAGTTTTGGAGTCCGGGCTCGGGGGTGGGAACCCTACTTCGACATTCATGCGTAGCTACAAGCTATAGCTACAATTTGGCCGGGAGTATTATTGAAGCCCAAGACCATGCTGGTGGGCATCATACTCTTCAGAATTTGATCTGCTTGTGTGATTGGGGCTTCAGACGTACGTTCCTTCAGCGCCATCCTTCGTCAGCGCATTGCCATGCTTCCTCTTGGTTTTTAGGAATGTGCCTCAACAGCCCAGTAAGATGCACGTAAACTTGCTGTTGCAGAGACGCCGGGTAGTGAAAGGCTTGCAACAATCTAGATACCTCCCACGAAAGGAGTGACTGTAATGATGTGGAGACTGTAGACGAACACCAAAGCAGTCCTAATCTTCCGCCAGAAATCCTCTTTTAGGAAAGGTTCCGCCCATTGAGACCACACCCCCAGTCGTAGAACACGAGACATCCAGCTACACTCATTTGCCTTGCTATTCACATCGTTGGTGTGTATCTTTGTACTCTGATGATTACAACTGCCGGTACTCTGACGCGGAACACTGAGCTCCAAAGCCATTTAGGGTTCAATGTTAAGATATCCTCCAGACATTGACATGCGCTCCCTAATGATGGGAAAGCAAGGTTCCTCTCTGACTTCTATTTCGAACAAGCTTAGGGCATGTCTGTGGATCTGCGTTTGAACTCTTGACGAGGCGACTACAGCCTCCAGAGAACTTGGACCCAGCGCAGAACTCAAATGGGGCCCGATGTAGATCCCCATTATACACTCATCATCGCTCATCCCTGTCATGGAGACTAATGAGAAGGGATCCCACCAAATCTAGGAACATCCTCCAACACGTATGTTACTCCTATTTCACGCCCAAGGCCTCGTGCACGTGCAACGCGCTTGGGCCTCGGCAGGAGATCATTGGGCCCGGTGCAGGGTTTGAAGGGTCCAGGTTCAACTTAGGGATAGAAGGGGCGCAAATGGTTTTGGGCTGAGAAGGTGCGGAAATCCCAGCAACCTTCCCTCACAATTCGGGCCGTAGACTAGGGGGGGGCGCAGGCTTGGGAATCCTCAATCTTGAGCCTTAGACTTCACACCCTTCCAATCCCAAACCCGACGACTGAGGATCGGCTCCTGAAAGCTGTGCCTGAAATTTATGAGTGACCTCCATTGAGTTAAGAACTTCTGTAGCACGATTGGTGGGAACAATGGTCATATAGAGGTATGAAGCAGTATAGGGGACATGAAGTCAGGGCTTCAGGGATTTCCATAGCCCCACCAACCCGTGCTTGCAGGGGAAAACTCTTCCCTGCAAGCATGCCGAAGAAGACCTCCAGGCATCGAGCTGCCCGGAACCTTCAACCCTGAGACCTGTCTCGCAAGCTCTGGATGCCAAGAGAAAGAAGCCGCAAACTTTTTTCAACCCTTGAATCCTAGATCCTGAACCCCTAAGCCGTAGGGCCGTAAGGGGCAAGAGGCAGTGGCAAGGGTGCCAACCAGTACAATGTGTAGCCCAGCTCAGATAAAGTATACTCATGCCACGTACATGCCCGAGAAACAATCACTTAAGTGTTTTCAGGTATGTATAGTTCATCTCTCGCTCTTCAGCCTAACCGGCCCAACGAATAGCTGTGATCCGAACGTGAGCGCAAAGCTTCGAAGCCTCAATCTCCAAGATACTGTTGATACATAATTCCTGCACGACCTTAGTATACTGTAAATACTGTACTACCCAAGGTGTACGGTACTCAGGCTCATGCAGGCTGGTTACCTCGTACAAAATAAGGACCTGCTCACCATGATGTGGTGGCACTTCTAGGATGGTCTGGACGTTGGAACCCAATTCCTACACCAATATAGAACTTAGTCAAGACCTGGGGACACGGCACGCTGGCTCAAACAACCGTGCCGAGCCGAGGGAGGAGGCCATGGGGAACCCCAGGAGGGGTCTTGGTCTTGGTTGGGGGCTTTAGAGGATGAGGATTTTTCAGGGTCTTGAGGTTCAGGCTTTGGTGTGGGATTTGGGGCTCAGGGTCTGGGGCGTTGAGGGCTTGGACTGGTTTGCGTAGGTTCTGTGACTTGCCCAGCTGCTGCAGCGTTGTGCTGCAAGGGTCAAGCACCCGTCGGGTGAGTTTGACTTTTGGTACGTAGGTATGCGTTTCAGGGCTTGCTCCGACAACCGCGCCTTGCCTAAGATTCTCTGACCCAAAGCCATGCGGAAGGTCATTGCAATCCTGTGGTCAGTCATTGGTCGAATCAGATCTTTGCCAGACTGCCAACATCTTCATGCAGGTTCATGTAAAATTTCAATGGAAATCTTCCTCGAACCCTCTTGAGTCTGAATGAAATTTAGCCAATGCAAAATATGTGGGAGCCCCGCATACCAAAAAATGCCGCCCACCCACCTTCCTATATGGAATTGTTCTGTTTAAATATCCTCTTCATGCCTGCATTCCGGAACTGTAGCTACACCAGAAAGAGGTTTGCGTTGCAAGATTCTACGTTCTCCAACACCTTTTTCCACTTGGTTTGTCATGGATCTCCCAGCTTCCATCACAAGGAGCCACCGAACAAAAAATGATGATTCATGTTGCCAGCACATCACATAAACTGGCAATGCAAAAACCAAAAGCACCTAATACCCAACGTTCTTTGAGCTGCAGCGCATGCAGTGCCAGGACTTTTTTCCCCGAAGCCAAAAGACGGAGGCCTGGGCATGGCGGCTGTAGGAACCTTCATTGGACAATTTTTCCAGGGCGGAAAAATGTTCTGGGCACTTTTTAGGATGTCCGGGGTTCTAGAGAGTTTGGTGGGGAGTGCGGGATGTTAGCCGGTCGTGCAGGATGTTGAGGTGTCGTAGATGTGAGGTCTAGACAAGTCGCAGAATGCATGCACACTCCATTCTCCGGCATCTCAGTTTTGAAGCTATGCACACCCTATGGTGAAGGGCAATATGTTGGTCGTGGATTTCGGTCACAGCCGTGAAGACTATGGGAATACTTCTGCTTCGTAGGAAGAATTACTGCAACCTACCTGCCCAACATCCTGCGTGTGCCTTCTTCGAACTTTAGTAAGCATGAACGCTGGGGGTTTGTCGAGAATATGGCGGTATTCTGGGGCCCCTGTCAGGATCCATAAGGGTTAACTTTGATCCCAGAGGCCGTTGCCAAAAAGCTCCCCAAGGGAGGACAGCTCGCCCACGAGCTTAGACCTGGTGTCCGTCAGCCATACAAACTTTCTGACCCTCATACAGATTTGTGTTGAGATTACGTGGTTGATATGTGGTTGGTTGAAGATCATATGAGAATATGCGATGTGCACGGAGTTCGCTTTCAATTTGAAAAGCAATGGAAAAGGGAACATAGTGACCGGCACGAGAGACTTGCAATTTTGAGAACCTCCCATGCAAGGATTCAGCTGCGAAAGGATTCTGCTGCGACTAATTACGTGAGATACCAGGGTCTTGTTTTGGAAGGGGGTTGAAGTTGGACTTCAATCATGGGATACCCTCTGTGGGCGGTGGCCCCGTGATGAGGGATTGCCCACGCCCATTTTCGGAGGACCCTGTATCTCAGAGCGACCCATGCCTTCAGCAAAAAGATGCTCGTAAGAACCAAGGTTCGAAGCTCGAAGCCGTCACTTTCAGGGTTCTAGGCCCAAGCTTCTGGGAGCTTGCCTCAATGACTGTTTCCCAACATAGGGACAATCGGAACAACTTCCTAAAGGGTCTCGAGGCCAGGCTGAAGCCCTTGCCACTGAAGCTTTACAGTTATGGTTTGGGCGTGCAGAGTGTGTGCTAGCGAGTAGAACAGCCAGAATGGAGAAGCTCAGCCTTTGAATCGCACGCTTCACTTCAGGGGCTTGACAAATTCTTGTTCAAATTTGGGGGGGTTCCTTGTTGTTTGGAAAACCACGCAACGCCATACACATCCTAAGTCTTACGCCCCAAGCCCCCGAACCCTGAATCCTGATCCCGCTCCGAATTCTTGACCTTGAAGCCGCTACAGCTTGCTTCCAAATCCTAAACCAGAGTCTTCGACCTGCACATACAACAGACAGCGCTAGACTACGGATCCCCAAAACCCTAAACGAGAAAAGATCCTGAATCCCAGGCCGCTTCATCTGCATTCCTGCAAAACAGAATCCGTGTAGCTTTTGAGGATCCCTGCCCTCAACTCTTAGAACCTCCAGCGTAAATCCCAGCACTGAACTTGATCCCCAAAGCCCTACACTCTACACTACACTCTACGCACCGTTCACCGAGCAGTGACCAAGAACATGCAAAGCTTAATCAGCTCAGGCAGCTTTAAGTCCACTGGTGCGCCCATGAGGGCCACACCTGGGCGGGCAAAGGGTTCCTGCTCCTCCTGGTATATGATGATACTGCCACGGCTTACAGACGATGAAGAGGAGCAGGCTATCCAATAGCCAGCTCTGCTGCTGCTCGTCCTTCTGTCGCGCTTCTTCCACATATCTTCCAGGCTTGGAGTACAAACGCAGCTGAGGGCAGAAGAGTGGCCTAGTACTGTAGAGACGCAGAGCAGCAAGCAGGGTTTTCAGTTCACAGAATCCACCTTGGAGCTTTCTCAACATTTCAGCAAACGAAAACACCGCCCAGCGCCTTGCCCCATGATTCAGAAAATCACCCCCATACGCCCTGCATCCTTCAACCACCAAGCCTCCGCACAAAGCCTGCAACCTTGAAAAAGTAGCCATGCATTTTCAAATTTGAGGCCTTCATCTCAACCCCCAGTGATAAGAAGCACTCATAGGCGGCTCTCAGCCAAGACGCCGGACCGGAATGCCTGCTCTTGGAAAGGTCTTTCAACCTGCACGAGGTGAAATACTACCCCCACAATGCCTTCACGTTTTGGGGGCTTGGGGTGGAAGCATCTACAGCAGGCCGCATAACTAGGGCCCACCTCATCAACCAAAAGCCATCTTTGCCTTCTGGATCTTACAAGAGGCTCCAGAGTAGTTGCTTAACCCCAGACGTATGCGGCATGTTGGAGCACTGACTGCTGGGTTCAGGTAAACTGCGAGGCCATGCAACCTCCATTTCCCAACGCCTCTCGACGTCTGCACCGAAAGACCCTTTGACTAGGCACCTTTTCTAATATCCGTAGCTTAGCTCATAACCTCTTACATCCGACACTACATTAAGAATCTTCACTTCACAACTTTTGGGTCAAGACTCCAGCTAATGACAGCCGTTGCGTGTTTAACGATAAACTTGGCGAAGCACATTATGAATCCACTCTGAGCCCCTTATACGTCTGTACGAAGGACAGGTCCCTTTTGCATGGGTTTCAGGCCAAGGGTTTCGCAAAGTCCCAGTCTCAATCCTGCCCGACATTGCTGGTGCCTCCATCTCAGCAACTAGAACATCGCCAACCCCTGGCGGGCTGTTGTGTGTGCAACATGTGACGATGACACGGTCCAACTCAATTTCTAGGATCTCTGCCATTCCCGACTCAAGAATGTTCAGGTACAGTTTGTGCTCAACCGCATCTGTCGAGGGAGCCAGACGAGGACAAGGGCTTGGGGGCTCGAGGCTTTGATGCTCTAGGAGGACTCTGAGAAAACGCGAGCCGAGTCTACTCTTACGTGTAGGGATGTTGATGGTCTCTTAGAGGTTGTCTGCGCATGTCACACCTATTTGCGAAAGCTCAGTCAATGCTGAAACCTTTGATGCCATCAAGCACCGGCTGCGCCTACAAGAAGAGCCGACGAGAGTTTTTGGTTGCGCATTGAGATGCTACGAAACAATATGAGTGACCCAGTTACCTTGGCCGACAGGAGTTGCTGAACCACAGCAGCATCTACCGGCAAGGATTGCAAATGCAGACTCTACACTTTGGCTTCCAAACACGTACCTTCTCCGGCGGGTTTGGGAAAGGATGGTCTTGAAAGGAGCTGGAGTTTGGATCCTAGGTTTAGCCCGACCAGACGCAAGGTAGGTCGGGGTCATGTTGACCCCTAGCGTGGGCGTGGCTCAGAAACTCCAATCGCAAGGTCCGCAAGGTCCTAAACTATTGACACGCTGTCAACCTTTATGGGTTTCCCCAGGTTGGCTACAAACACCCCGAACCTACCAACACATGACTTCCTGGCTTTGGGCCAGAAAGACAAAGCTGCTCAACCTTAAACCAATATTGGTGGTTTCTTGGCCAAGTCCGGGGAGCCTAGATCTGCGAGGCGCTTGTGCAGATTTGCAGTCTGGACTTCATCGATGAACCTGAATGAAAAAAAGAGAGAGTTTAGAGCGAGGCATTGAAGATGTTAAGCTTGGTGGCCTGCAGTCCAGCCTACTATACGTATGTGTATTTGCACATCTGTGTAGATCATCATGTCCCAAAATGGGGCCGACCACACCAACTGCAGTGCAGGATATTGCCACATGTGGATTTCTGACATGCCATGATGAGATGCCGCTGGAATACAACTTTTTCTGATGCCTAAACTCAAAGCTCAAAATGCTGAGTGCACAGCTACTTAGCCGAAGCTGAAAAACATCCGAATCATCTTGGCCCTTCAGCCCTAAATTCAAAGCAGGATCCGAATCCACCGCCTGCTGTAGCTGAAGCCCACTCCAAGTCTAGAATTCAACCCAAAACGAGGTCAGTGCCCTGAACCTGAAAAACTGGGCCCTCAGAAGGAATCTCTTCAGGACATTGACAGTCTTTGAAGCCTATAGGTCAAAGCCATAAGAACAAACCCCCCAGTTCAGAAAGAGCCCTAGGCCATGAACTAATTTTAGAATCGTGCTGCGCTGCTACTACAACTTCGGCCTAGCTTAGAACACCAAAATTCTTTGAATGTCAGATGCCCATTTCTCACCCAAAAGCTCTCAGACTCCTACCTGGACCCCCAAAGTATGTAGAACAATGGCCGTGTTGACTTGTTCAGGGGGTTCTGGGCCATCATTTTACCTACATTTGAGCATTGTTTTTTTTTTAAGGTTAAAGTCCTTATACTAAGATTGACTGCCTACGCGAACTACGCGGATGGCCTTTTTCCCTGCAGAGCAGACTACGCGAACACACTGTTACTATCGTGCTGCCTACGCGGACTACGCGGCACTCCTGGGCTATAGCAGAATCTATGCAGCACAACTTG